AACAAAAGGAATCGAGGATCCTTATGCAACAATTCTTCTGCCAACAACCCGGGGGACGCACAAGATTCGATTGCAAGTGACCAACCAATCAGATTTATCAATTCAAAAATTAAGAGAAGGGGAGTGGAGGGATACAACCATACATCGATCTTTGAAAAAAACAAATGAAAAACCCGAGATGCCGATTTGGAAACGAAAAGGGCGACCTGCGCCGAATGCAAAAATTGCTCAGAAGGATAGAAGAAAAGTCAAAATTACTTAGGAGAATGAAAGAAAAATTTCTCTACACACGTCTCGTTTCTCTCTCTCGCTCTCTCTTCATAACATCCCGATGAGGGCAGTCCGTCGCCTCGCACCCACACAAAGTTGTCACCCCGCTTGTCCCGAGCATCCAAGCCAAGTTCGCTTGTGCCCCGCAGTCCGTCGCGGCCGCACGTTAACCCCGCATGCCCAGCATCACCTCGTCGGATCACCGAACCCTCTACTCACCTGCCAACTATTGCTCGTTAGTCGCTCCCCTCGACCGCGCTAACTTCCAAAATTCTTAGGGAGTGAGTTAATCACGCTTGCGACATTTATAGCATGTGTGCGCACGATATCCGAGGTTGTGTCCAAGTAGGAGGAAGAGGAAGGAAGGAAGTGCCTACGACTGCATGGCCAGTCCGCGGCGTGGGGGACATAGCCTCACTCCACACATCGTTCTGGTAAAATGCTGGCGTTCAGGCCACTAGGACAGAGGAAGAGGTACGTGAGCACAGGGGCGCCACAAAAGATATCAAGAACGAGAGGATTACAGTTGCAATTGTGCCTGCCCAAACAAAAATTACAGTTACACGCAAGGATTGAGGCGTGGAAAAATTAGAGCACAGATCCTGATGTGGCAAGGCGTGCGCAAGCGCGGAGCGTCGTGCAACAAAAATTGAGGTGCGCCAAAATTCCTCAGCGAAATCCTAATTGCAAAAAGAAATTCCGGACGAAGCAAGTTCTGAGAGCCCGCGGGGGTTCGAAATCAGTTGAAAATTCAAAAAGATTTTCCCGCGCGACGATCACGCCAAAATTCCCTTTTTCCACAGCAGAACAAGAAACAAGCTATGTCAACAGTTATCTTTCGCGCTCGCTAAGGCACGATCAGCTACCAACCGTCACAAGATTGCCCTGGCCTACGTTGCCACTTGTACGCACCCTTGTACGAGTACGGATTCGTGCTCTTGTACTCGTACGCTACTCG